AAAGCGAACCTTCGTGATCGTTATTACATTTTGGGTTGTACAAACAGCCTTTTCGGCAGTGTTATTTTGGAACTCCCTTATAACCTTATGTTATGCCATTACGGGTGTATCACTGTGTCTAGTGACCTCAATCTTCTCTTACACAAAGATTCTCCTTAAGCTCCGACATCATCAAAATCAACAACCGAACCAAGAAAATCAACTGAACATGGAGCAATACAAAAAGGTATTGTCCACTGCAATATGGCTGCAACTGACGCTGGTCGCTTGCTATTTACCCAGTGGAATAACTTTGGCTTTGATAGCTAAAAGCGGACTATCTTTATCCATTTATCAAACTTGGAATTATGTACTCACTTTAGTGTTCTTGAACTCGTCATTGAACCCGATTCTTTACTGTTGGAAGATAGATGAAGTCAGACAAGCAATGAAGAACACAATCAGACAAGTACTTTGCCATTGTTTTTCGAGTTAGGTCTTGTAGACCAGAGCGACAAATACATTCTCCTAAAGGTTGTCTTATATCAAAACTGGTGCTTTTGTTTAACTAATTTATGTTACATATTTCTGTAAAGCAGTAATGTAGCAATCAGAGATAGTTTCATAATTGTAATTAAACAGTAAAATTGCTTCAAATGGCAACCTGTAAGAGTGACAATGAAGAAATGAAAAAAAGAAATAAAAGAAATCATTTTCAATTCTTCTCCGCGTAGACTACATTGCACAGTAGTTAAACGCGGTTTAAATTAAGGTGACTTTAGACCTTCAGCGATGTCTTTCAGGAAATCTTTTATGCCTACATCACTTCAAACATACATAGAAAAACAATATAGATGTCGTTAAGGTAATATAACGTAGAATCAGAATAAAGAGTTTTCGTAAAGATATTTTCTATTAGTTAGCACACGCAAGCCGTCAAACGCAAAACTGACAATGTTTGCTTAACTGAAATACATTCCGCTGGTGTTTGCACTTACGACCAAACACACCGTGACGTGCTGTCAATCAGCAGATGACGGACTTCAAAAGAGTGACAGGCTTTTTCTATATTGCTATTTTCAGAATCAAGGCAAGCACTCACTGTTTGTTTATCGGGTTATCTGTTAGGACAGGTGAATGAATTCACGGAACTAGTGGGAACAAAGTCTATTTGAGTTTTTTGATATTTCACAGTCCTAGTTCATACAGGACTCGACTCTAAGCAGCTGAAAATATTCATTTTTTGCAAGGCTCTAAAAGAAATTTCCTACTTGGCCCCTTACCAATAACGTGAACAAAAAGTCTGTACTTGAGCAACAAAATAGTTGCTAGGAAGGAAGGTTTTGCCGTTCAATTTCAAGTTGAGCAATGACCAACAATGAAATTTGAGATAAGGAAATTATAACTTTGCTCTGGCAGTAAAGAGCCTTGCGGGAAGGAACGTTGCCTCTTCAGAACCTCTAATTTCATTCTCTTCTGGTATCATGCCCCTCTATTTCTTAGATGGCTTGGGCTACTGTTTAATTTGTTCTTTTCATCGCTTTCTTCTTCGTTCCTAGAGTCATCTATTCTTCTTGGTCGGCGGGTGCTTGGTACGACGAAAACGTGAATCTGGAGACTCATGATTTGATTGTCTATGTTCTTGGACTAAGATTTTCACTTATTCAACGCTGTGTTCCTTTCCGAAAATTTCCCGTGGATTATCTCTTACCAAGCATGGCCAATTACGGCATATGCACATCTAAAAAATATTGTAACAAAGGAAACTTCAGCAGGAGTAAGATTTTGATTGGAAGTGATTCATGTGTTTCTTTGTGAAAGGTTTCACTGAGACTTCTCCCCGTAAACTAGTTTCGAGCTTTAGGTGCTGTGATCGAACGGTTTGTGTCAGAGATCAACCAGTGATACTTTCGGAAAGGAAACCAGCATTAAATTATGAAAAAGAATCTTAAACCAAGAATCTAACGTATCAAATAATGTCTTCAGACCCATCTTTTTCGTGCATTGAGGCTCCGAAGGCTGAGAGAGAAAGAGAGGCAGCTCAGAGGATGACAACGTTATTTTCTCAAGAAATCCAATTCCCGGTTCTATATTTAATTAGTGAAGACTGAAGAGGCCGTCAACTACGCAGGTCCCCGCTTAGATTGCGAGAAAACTCTCTTGGAGTTAGAGGGCGGACGTTTATGCGCCATTATCCAAACTAGCATTTCCCAACATGCCTTTCGTGACTAGCACCTTCAAGGATCTGGCTTCCTCTGAAAGTTGTCCGTCACAGATGTGGGCATGACGTATAAAAATAAAAGAACTAAACGACAAGAAACCACACAGGTGCAAAAGACAGTGAAATGCAAACGGGAAACAATGCTACTCATTAAAATCCGGTTCTCGATGGAAAGATACAGGATTTGGAAGTAGAAAGGACAGTGAACGCAAAGTGCCAAACACAAACTACAACAAAACAGTCCCCCAATTTTAATCAATAAAATAAAAATATATATGTATATTAAGAAACTAAAACAGAGTTTTTCAATTTTCGGCTCTATTATGCTTGTTTCTGGCAAAATACAGGTGAAATGAAAGTAATAAAATAGACAGTGTTTCTGTTTCTAAAGACTTGTGACATATACTGCTAGACCAAACTCCGCTCATATTTGCTATGGCTTTAATCGCGCTGTGTCTTCGGTCCATGTCCATTGACGTTTAAGCGCATTTCTTCTAGCTACCCTTTAAACGTGTGTGAACAACATCATGACTAACACAGCCGCAGATCTCAGTGATGCTAATTTCTCCATTATACCGAGCTGTGCCTCTCACCGTGAAAACGTGCAAGATTCTTGGCCTCATTATGGCACCCAAATACCATACCAAACAATTTCACCACGTGCTTTCAACTGAACCACGTCCTTTTTATTATTCCATTTTAAACTTTATCTTATGGCAATACCATCCACAAAAAAACAACCAATTTGTCATTTGTCCATTATTGTCAGATCCAAATCCTTCTATCTTGTACCGAAACTCCCTTTTCTAACTCCTCTATCCGCCGCCGAGCGCCTATCATCACCCTTTGCAGTTCCATCTTTGGCTTTCAATTCTATCCTTGTCATTCGACCATTGTTTGCTAAGCCTTACCCATCTATCTTGTACCGAAACTCCCTTTCCTCACTTCTCCATCTCCCTCCATCTCCCTTTCCTAACTCCTCCAACCGCTGAATGCCGAACATCACACTTTGCATTTCTTCCGTTGGCTATCAAATATATCCTTGTCATTCGTCTATTGTTACTTAGCCTTTTCCATCAAACTTGCACTGAAACTTCTCGTCATCTTCCCCTGTACATGCCTTCTTTGGCTCTCAAACACAACTTAAACATTTCCATCTACCCACTGAAACAAACCTTTCTCCAAATAAATCACCTTTCTTTGCACGTTTGATCTAAATTCCATCTGTTCTGTGGCCATTATGAACCTTTTTCCTTTCGTTTTTGATTAGCTCTCCGAAGTCCTTGATCGCTTTTATCATTTGGGTAGCCATGGTCTGTCATTTGTTAGTTTTCCGTGTTTTGTTGACATCACAGTCGTTCATTCTCGTGATCACTTATGGTTAACTTATAATTAACTAGTTAAGACGTTCTTCCTTCTTTGGCATAAACAGGGCCGATTCTAAGCGTTATCATGTTGAATTTAACGTAAAAATAAGACAAAAGAAAGTAATTTCGCCATCCACCCTGAAGTTGCTCAAAATTAAATTAAATCATATTATTTCTAAAGCATGCACAGGGCCGATTCTAGATGTTGTCATTGAAGTTAACTTAAAAAACAAAAGAAACAAT